GAGAGAGACAGAGCATGAGTTGGGGAGAGGGGCAGAGGGAGAGAGAGAGAATTTCAAGCAGGCTCCATCCCATGACTCTGACATCATGACCTGAGTCAAAATCAAGAGTCAGATGCTTAACTGACTGTGCCAACCAGTCGCCCCTGGACAGACTCCTTCTAAGAATTATGTTATTTTTTTTTTAAGTTTATTTGTTTTGAGAGAGAGAGTGTGTGTGCACACGTGGAGGAGGAGCAGAAAGAGAGAGAGAATCCCTAGCAGTCTCCGTGTGTGGGGCTCGAACTCACGAGCCATGAAATTATGACCTGAGCTGAAATCAAGAGTCAGTTGCTTAACTGACTAAGCCACCCAGGCACCCCTAAGAATTATGTTTTATAAATTCATAACATAAAACACGTACGATCACAAAGGACTCCACAATTATATTGAAATCACTGTGAAAACATTTTCAAAATCAAAACTATAGGAATTTGTCCTCTTTATGCATTAAATGAGAGTTCTCAAAACTACTGTACTCGTCAAGAGGTAATGAGCAGAAATGCTATGTCAAGATGTCTGCTACGACTGTACCAATATATGAAAATATCTGTGCTTTCTACTGGGGAGAAAGCCACCAGTACTGCTGATACTACTGTGCTTTACTGCCTACACTATAATTGAAAGAAATGCTAAAGTTCAGCTACAGATGAGTGAAAATAAAGTTGTAATTTTTTCCCCATCTAAGTTCATACACCCCCTGAATTAAGAACTCTTACCCTAATTTATCACTATACTTCACACTTTTATATACACGTGACATTCCATTACTGATACAGAGCCTTCAGAGTCTTTTCAATGTTTGTCCTTGGGGATATGGATGGGGATGGCTTGGAATATACAAATATCTGGATCAAAAGAAAATCAGCCCATAACATCTGGGAGTTGGCCTGACACTCACAGCTGGGCTTTGGTGTTACCCTGGCTTCCTAACAACACCCAAACCAGAGCAAAGCCGGGCTTCCTTGAATTCGCTCCCACATGACCCAACCAAAGCCCAAATCTTATTATACATCTTTCTAGCACCCCCTTAGTGAGATGCCCCGTTGTGCCAAGTTGTGAGTTTTCCTCGCAGCAATCAGAGATATACTCAACTTGTACAACTACAAGTGGTTGAACACTTGTCTTTGGTCTTGGGCTGGAAGGCAGCGACATGCCACCACACAAACCACAAAAATCTTCCAGATGCCTGCCTGGATGAATTTACACTTTCTATGGGGTGAGGAAGCATAATACAGATTGAAATATGAAACCCTCATTATGAGACACTATAACAATTATTTAGGCGAGATCACAGGTTTTAAAGGCAGACTACCTAGGTTTGGATCCCGGGTTCCCGCTTTTTCGGTGTGGCCTTGTACAAATTGCTTCTCTGTGCCTCGGTTTCCTAATCTACTAAACTGGGACTAATAATCATACTCATCTACCTGGGTTGTTGGAAAGATTAGATGAATATGTGTAAGGAGCTTAGATTAGAGCTGAGCACATAGTAAACACTACGTTAGTTTCTGCTATTCTTGTTAATAAGATAAGTATTCTCATTATTACCTATTTCTAGTAGTATGAAGGGACATGTGATTCCCAGGGACGGGTATACGCTTAAGTATTTTAAAGGGAAAAAAGTCAGGGCCTTTCGAGAGTAAAGGACATGGAAAATTATATTAAATTTAAAACCTTAGGAACTTCCACCCCACGGTAAAAAAAAAAAAAAAAAAAATCTGAAAACCTTTTGTGAGATAAATCCAGGCCCCAGAGGTCGGCGACTTCCGGCCATGAGACTTTCGAAGCAGCTCGATACCCGTCGAGCGCCCCCGCCCGGCGTCCTCGGAGCAGAGGATTCCCAGCCCAAGTCGCTGGGCGCCCAATCGCGGCAGCGAAGGCCTATTCCCAGCGCGGCGCGGTGCCCGGCACCTCCCTCCTCGCGCCCCCGCGTGTCGCCCACACGGAGCTGGCGCTTTCCTGCCGCCTAGCAACGGCTGGCGCAGGGGCGGAGCCTCCTGGAGGCGGGGCTTGCGTTCCCAGGCAGTCTGAGGAGCGACGCGCTGCAGCTCCGCGACGCCGCTACCAGACCAGGCTTCCGAACTAAGCCTTCGCGGGATCGAATTGGCTGTACGGCAGTCACCCGAAGCGCGGCCCGCTTGCGGTCAGAGGAATCAGGGCCCTACCCGGCCGCCGTAGCGACCTCTCTGTAGTGGGCGGGGCCGAGGCCGGGGTGACCCCGCGGGAGCCACCTCTGCCAGCAACATGTTCAAGGTGAGAGCGTGGAGCCGGGTCACAACTGTCACCGCCCCCTCCCGGCCTTGTGGAGCCCTGCCCGCGCTCTCGTGGGCCTCTCCGGGGGCCAGGCCCGGCTCGCCCTGAGGCTTTTCTCGCCTCTGGGCCAGCTGCGTCCCGACCCAGCTGTTCTTTCACCGGTCACCTAGGAGCGAAAGGTTGCTGGGCGGAGGCGTGAGATCCCGGGATGGGTGGGTGGGCCCTGTGGGTCTTGCTTTCAGGAATAAAACACTTTGAAAAGTTAAAGTCCCCCCCAAAATAATCACACACACCCCCGATGGTGCCCTCGGGTTCGTGTGTAAGGAGAGGCCAGCTCAGGGCACTGCAGGGTTCGGCTTTGGTTGCCTGGCAGGATCAGGTTTCAGAACCTGACGTGTGAATGGGGGAGGGTCACCTTCGGAGAAGCTGCTGCAGGATTTGGGGAAGCTGGTATGGCAATGTGGGAATGGCTGGAAGGGTGGTAAGCTGCAACTTTGTTCCCCTCTCAAGTGAACATTATTTGGTACCGACAAGTCGACCCCCTTGTCTTAGATTTTACAAGTTCATTTCCTTTGAAAGAGATCGCCTTTCAGAGTGAAGGCTTTGTTTCAAAAATCTGCATTTTAAACTTGAAGCCATCATTCTATTTAAAAAAAAATAAATGATGTTTTCTATCGTGAAAAACAAATCATAAGCTCCCAGAAGTTAGTGTACAACATTGAGTCTTCAAGAAGCACAGCACCTGTAAAATAGTGCTAATGAAATCTCAAAATTGTACTACTCATTTAGAAGTTTTATTGTGCTCCTGCAATGTGCTTAGGGCACATTAGGACACGCTATAAAATCAGAACATGGATTCAGCCTTCCAGTCTTGGCATTGCCACTTTCCAGCTGGGTGACCTTGGGCACATCCCTTAACCTTTCTGTGCCTGTTTTCCTGTCTGTAAAGTTGGGGGAATAGCATATACTTCATAGGGTTGTTATAAGGAGTAAATAAGTATGTTTAAAGCACTTGGAAGAGCCTTTGGCATATAGAAGTGCCATATAAGTGCTTTTAGTTTGTTTTCAGGCAGCTCACAGTTTAGTTACGGGACAGATCCCATAAGCAGTTTACATTTGTGTTGAACACCTATTGTGTGCAAGGAGTTCAGCTCAGTTTTAGTGTTGCAACAACAAAAGATGTGCTGTGATCCGTTTATATGGGTATCAACAATGTACTGGTGGTAGTAGAAAGGAGAGCAGGATCTCCTCTGCCTCGGGGGTTCCCCTCTGCACCAAGTGTTCTTAACCTGTGGTCTTCAGCCCCTCCGAGGGTCTGTAGATAGAATTCAGGGAAGTCCCTAAACCCTGATGTGAAAAAACTTCATTTTCACCAATTGCCAACTGAAAT